TTTCTACTATCTCCCTCACGATATACGGATCGCGAGCACGAAGGCGTATCGTGAAGGGAATATATACGGCGTAGACGCAGCCTCAGGGGCGGCTGTTTTAGCTTTGGGTATTTCGCCGGGCGATCACGTCCTCGACCTGTGCGCGGCTCCTGGTTCGTGCTCTTGTACCATTTCAATTCAAAATCAATGTTCATTTCTGTATGCAAGACCCCTCGAAAATGCCTTATGCTAGTTAATTGGATCCTAATGTTTCGTAAAGTCTATTCTGTTCAAACACGGAGCTCACTGCTGAGGATAAAGATCAAATGATGCATAGTAATTTGTTTCATTGTATTTACACCTGAGGTAGTAGTAGTTACGAGGTGCTTATCATTTATTAATTATATATGTTGAGCTGATAAAAGCCCGAAATTTAGCTACTCAATACTATCGAGCTCATTGATGGAGCTCACTGATATGAAGAAAAGTAGAAAAACACCTCACATTGATCATTACCAATTTGTCTTTGCAGGTGCTAAGCTCTGTATGATTCTGGACATTCTTGGCACGTCTTCAGGTTCAGTGACTGCTGTTGATATCGCTCAGCACCGGTTGGCCGCCACTCGAACCATGGTGCGGAAATATGGCCTCGGTGACCTTTGCCGCCTGTTTGTTGCCGACGGGACCACATTTTCCCTCACTCCACCGAGGGCTTCTCGGCCGAACCATGAAAACTCCGAGACCTACGGCCAGTGGACCCCACGCAGACCGTATAAAGAACGGAAGAGTGCAGCCAAATCTAGGCAGAAACAAATCGCCGGCAGCCCGGAGCTCATATTCTACGGACCTCATTCTGGGGTGGTCGGTTCTACCAAAGATGACGTGTACCGAATCTACAGTGAACTGGAGATCGCGTTCCAGGGCTACGATAAGGTCCTTGTGGATGCAGAATGCACGCATGATGGCTCGATCAAGCACATCCAGAAATTCGAGCAGTGGGGCTGGGCCACACTCTCGGCCCGCGTGCTGAATGCCGAGAGAACGGATGAGGACGTGACTGTTGTGCAGCTGAAGTTGCTGGTGAATGGATTCAGGCTTTTGAAGGTTGGGGGTTCTCTCATCTACAGCACGTGCAGCTTGACAGTTGCTCAGAATGAAGGTGTGGTGGAGGAGTTTCTTTCGGAGAATTTGTCGGCTGAGTTGGTGAAGATTGAAGCTGCGGAGAGCTGGCCTTGTAGACCTGGAATGATACATAAGACTCTGAGATTTGATCCGCTTACATCTGGCACGAGTGGGCTTTTTGTTGCCAAGTTCACAAAGCTGGCTACTTGATCCTTTTTTATGCGGCAGTACTGGTAAGTGATTCGCCCAGGCGAATTATTTTTTCGTCTTCTCTTTAACTTTTTGTATTTCCTATATTATCTGGAAATTTTTGATTGAACAATGGGGGAAGGGATTTTTAGTTGTACTTGAACATCAGTGAAATTAGCTGGTCATGGAATTTGAATTTGATCAAGTAAAATGGTGGCTGGAGAGTTTGATGTATATATGTTGATTTGATATAGTTGCATATGTTGGATATACAATTGTAGCTTTAAAACCTGTATTTGTTGAGTTTTGGACTGAATTTGTTCCAACTTCCAAGTAGAATTGTTACAAAATAAATAATAATGAAAAAGGAATTAGTTGTTCATCAGATCAAGGCAACTGCATTCGAAACTCCCCTCATTTTTGGGGCTGAGTCTTATTCTGGGATGTGTTTATCTCTGCTGAGTTAAAAGGTTGAAAAAAGTTGCTTCAAATTCATGTATTGTTATGTCAGGTAAAATCCATCATGGGTAAAATCACAACTTGATGTACTCGACTACAAGATGGAATCATTTCATGAAAAAAACTCGAGCACGCATCAATATTTCATGTTCATGGATAGCCTTGGACTCTTGGGGCCTTTTAGTTGCTACTCATAACTCATCCTTGTCGAGACAATTTGCCCAAAGCTGATGTTTTCCTTCCCTACAGGTTCTCAGTGTTTGTATTTTTTTTCACACCTTTAAGCTACTACACTTCAATATCATTTATATCTGTATACTTATATGTCAGAACTATTGTAGTATTAGTTAGTGGTTATCTATTGATCCAAAGACAATGAGCAATTGGATTCAGACCCTAACAAATTATAGTTTTAAATACCCTGTGGGAGCAAATAATTCAATTTGCTGTGATTTAATTTTTTTTTTTTAATTTAATTTAGAAATTTTCGGGTCGGTTGTACCATCAATTATCAACCCCAACACAGCTCTAGACCTTGAGCAATTTGGCTGGTGTGAGCTGGAGGATTTCATACAATTAGCTGTAACTCGACCAGACCAAAATCCAGATGGTAGTCTTTTCTCAGAACAATTTGGGAAAAATCTGGATTGATTTGCTTGCCCAGTTTTGTACACCATTAACAAGAAAATCAAGAGAAGGAAAGTAGTGAACTGGAGGATGTTCCTAAAAATCTTCAAGTGTATGCCCTTATCTATATAGATATGGCTTTTACCTTCACAAAATATCGTATAAACTAGTTTCTAGCATCACATGTTTACTTGTGAAAAACACTGCATTTTCCCATGAGACTGAGAGATTTAGAAAATGGAAGGTGAAAGGACGAAAGCACAAAAGATTTGTCCATCATTTGTACAAAAACAGATGTTCATAACCGTGCACTTGGTTACCATTTCAAAATCTCTCTGTTTGTCGTCTGCCTGAATTCTGTCTGAATTTTCATGGGAATAAAAGAAAAAAAGACATGGTGTTATCATATCATATATCTACAGGCGACCACCTAATCCTTTAGCTTCAGACCCTTTCATAATCCTCAGCCTCTTGCAAGAACTAATGAACATATCCCATGGCACATCTCCAACTAGCATCCAGTCTCCATCTTTATCTTCATAAGTTGGTACAAATTCAGACCCATTATACCCTTCTCTCTCTGAGTAAACCCCTGAAAATATTTTTATAAACAAATTGTAAAAAGAAAAAAACAAGGATTTATCAAGTAGTTTTAGCTGAAGCTAGACTGAAATCATTCAAAGAGACAAAAAGAGAAGATTTATTTGGAATTTACCTATGGTACACTTGAACATGCCCTCTAAGGCCTTGAGAAGATCAAAGTAGTTTCTGTAGAATTTAAGATCAATCTTTCTCAGATATGGAGCTCCATCCATGCTCACCTTCACAAACATACCAGATCCATCGGATCCCGGTTCGGGTTTTTTCAGCACATTTTTCCTGTAAGATCTAACTGGTGGCCAACCAACCACTTGTGCCCTGAAAAAATTAAAAAAAGAAAAAAAAAAATCAACCCAAAAGCTACTAGGATCGAATGTTTCCCACTTTAGATTTGTAATTACTTAGCAACAGTTGTATAGTAGAATATCATACTTAAGACAATTGTTGTAATGAAACCTTAAATAAATGGTTAATATAATCTTTCAACTTACTTTGGAGCTGGAGCAGCAGATTCCTTCTTTCCATCTTCTTTCCTCGGACTATGATCCATCTCTGATGAAGGCCTCTTGTTGATATTCTTCAGACAAGAAGAAGATTGTTCCTCAGATTCATCATCATCATCATCATCACCTCTTCCGGGCAGCCCTAATCTCAGCTCTGTTGCCTTCAGATTCAAATCGGTTTCGAAAATCACTGCTGATTTCTCCATTTATTTCTTCTGATCTCTAATCTCTTCTCTAAGTAACCCTTTTTTCTCTCTTCTCCTCAAGATCCCAATTGAATTATTGTGTATTTGCTGGTGCAAACTGTGTAGAATGAAAGTCTGTGTCAAATTGGGCACAAGTTTTATAGGATGCTTTTTTTTAGGGGGTGAAAGAGACAGTGAATCTGGGCCTTATTTTCGGTGTGCATGGTTTTCATGACAAGTTGGAGGTCATGGTCGCCACGCGCTTGCTGTACTAATATGCTCCATACATATATAAATTATGTTTGTATGATTCAGATAGACCATCATATGAAAATGAAATTAGTGTTATTTTTGTTAAACCGAATAGTTCATGTTTGAGCTCGTGCTCGTTAAATCGAACTATCATTTATAGCATATAAAATCGAAACTAGTGTCTTTTTTGTTAAACTGAATAGTTCATGTTTGAGCTTGTGCTTGTTGAATCGAACTATCATTTATAGCATATAAAATTGAAATTAGTGTTATTTAAGTCTTAACGGAGTAGTTCGCGTTCGAGTTCGTTAAATGGAACTATCATTTATACCATGTGAGAATGAAACTAGTGCTATTTGAGTTGAGCGGAGTAGTTCATTTTCGAGCTTGTGCTCGTTAAATTGACATGCCATTTATACCGTATGAAAATAAAAGTAGTGTTATTTAATTTGAACCGAGTTACTCATGTTTGAGCTCGTTAAATCCAACTATCATTTATACCATATGAAAAATGAAACTAGTATTATTTGAGTTGAACGGAGAAATTTATACTACATATGAGGTCGTGCTATTTTAATCTCGTAAAAACTTGGATTGAATCAATTCATTATTTAAATTTAAACCCTTAAATCAATTTTCTACATACATTAAGTATATGTTTGCAAACAAGTTTAACTCGATTGTTTCATTTAAATTCATAGTAAGATAAAGATCATCTAGTTCGAGTTATTTAACAGACGAGCTCGATTGGATTTTCAAATTCAGTGAACTTTCACCAAAATCAAAATGAAGTTATATGTACGAACACATACAACTAATTGCTTTATAAATAAACTTGATTAGGTGTTCGAGCTCGACCACTTACAAAACTCTAGCCAAAATACACTTACGAACAAGACTATTGACTAATGCTTGAAGGTGGAATGAATGCCAAGGGCATGTGCGCGTGGGGCATACGTATTTATGAGGGCGTGTGCTGTGCGGGTCAGAGGTGGGGACATGAAATAGTAAGTGCGGATTGGATGTCGGCTAAAAGGGTAGCAACTTTAGGTCTAATCCGGAGAAAAGCGGGGACAGACGTGGGACAAACGGCATCTCTTTGATAAAAAAAGCACGGGTCCTGAACGGCTGAGATGATTTCATCGCGGTACGGTGGATGTAACCAGGCCCGTCGGATTGTGTAGGCTTTGATTTTTAACTATTATTGAGGAATATATGGGAAAATGCTACAGTCCCAATCCCGTTACGAAATTATTCCATCGTGATTTGTAACCGTTGATTATTATGTAATCGTCGTGGATAATTGATCTAACGATTGTAAATCCCGACAAAATGATTCTATAACGGGACCGTAGAATCTCCCATCGAATATATGAATGGACAATTGTATTTTTTGCTTGGTCATTCGGTATGTTTTTGGGCCCATTCACTTAAAAGAGTTTCCATCTACAATTAATTTGATAATAGGCTATTTTTTTTTTTTTAAAAA